CTCCGTGCTGCCCGTCGCCTTCGCCGGGCACGTTCCTGTCGGGGCATCTCTGCGGTCCCCGGTGGCTCCGGCGCCTTTGCCGTTTAGTGAGCCCTCAGCCCATCCTCTCTCTACTTTCTCCATCTGTCTCCTGCCACCACCGCTTTTTTTCTCCATTCTTTCCGCCCCTTCTAGCATTCCCCTCGCGTTTTCCCCTTTTCCACCCACTCGCCTTGCTTTTGTTCCCGTTACCGCTGTGGGGATTTAGCTTTCCTGCCTTTCTAAGGGCGCTGAGAGAGAATGTGTTGCTTTTCCACAGCCCCTGTGGTCTGTCAAACACATCCCCTATCTCCATCTTCCAGTTCTAGTTCATCCATCTCCAATCTCTCAACAGGAATTATTGTACAGTTATGTGTTAATGATGCAGGTTGCTTATATAAAACGGTATTTTATCTGCTAAATGTCTAAAGAAACCCTAACGCTACAGCTGTAACATTCTCAATGCAGATGTTTTTTGAACGTGTAGAATGACCAAAAAAAAGAAAGATGTAGGTTTCTAGATCTGTCGCTGTAGAGACAGGCATGAGAAATGAGTCGGAGGCAAGTCAGTGCATCGATGATCCGGCAGGGTGGCAGCATCTGAAGACATGCAAGGGGCTCGGGGGTCATCGGGGAGCGTGACACCTTGGGGTGCTTTCTGTGCTTCGGCAGAGGTGGGGCTACAGGGCGGGTGCAACACGGAGCTCTGTGGATGCTGACATTGGCAGGGGCATTTATTTGTGCTGTTCTGGTGCCAAGGGGCCCAGTGGCGAGGCAAGGCCCCTTACGCTCTGGATTTTCTCTCTCCTTTGTAAATTTGCACTCTGAAACATCTGCCTACATGGCCAATTATTTTAGACTTACAGGAGACTTTCTTGACGCTGATAGGAGCCCGTTTCCTAAAAATATACCCTAAATGTTTTTATAATCTTCAGGAACTCATTTCCCGAGAAGTCAGGTTGGTGATTCCCAAGTTGCAGGTGGATGCAGCAGAGGATTTATCTCTCTGCCACCAGCTTGTTACCCCAGCAACGGGGCGCGTTTGGCATTTGTAGCAAAGGATTCCCACCTTGGCGGTGTGGCGCACGGGCTGGAGCCATCACAGAGTGCAGTCTGCTGGGGGCAATGGAGGGGTGAGGTGAAGCGTGGGCAGTGGCACACAGGGAGGATCCCACCTGCATACTGAGCAGGATGGCTGTTTCTCTGGGTTTCCTACGCAATGCTTTATAATCTTAATCAATATGGTGAGGGAGGAACGCCAACCCACGCCCGCCGCTGCTATGCCAGGCTGGGTCTGCCCGCTCTGCCCTGCCCAGCGCCTGCACGCTGACCCTGTGTGCTGCCCTCTGACCCACTCCCTGCCCCCAGCACCGGTCCCTGGCCCCGATCTGCAGAAGTGCTTGGTTAGAAGGGATGCCGTCCCTTTTGAGCCAAGGCATCACGCCGTGCTGGCGTGGTTTCAGAGGCTGGTGTGTTGCAGAGGATGAATTCTCATACTGGAAGTAGTGTCCTTGAGGGGAAAGGCTCTGTATCCTACTCCCCACCAGCTCTGAGCCATGCTGTGCTCAAAGTATTGCTTGGTTGTAATAAATCTTGGTCTCCAGGGGGTGGGAGAGTGAGGGATTATCTGGGAATGGGGGCTGTAACTAGGCCATGTAATATAATCTCTGAGGCCCATTTGGCAGGGAGTGGGCATGGGGGAGGGGTTTTTAATTTGTAATGATTTTTTCTTCTCTCTCCCCTCCCCTTCCCTTCCCCAAACCCCTTTATTTCTCCCTTTCCCTGCCCCGGAGGCTCTGTGATAAAGATTAATTTGCTATTTCTGGGCCTGTGACATTTTTCAGAGCATCCTGCTGGCTGCTGCCTCCATGCCAAGCCTGGCTGGGCTCCAGCCAACGGGATTAGCAAGGAGGGGCCAAGGGAATATGGTGCTCACCATGGAGTGGGGAATGAAGGAGCAAGGGACTCTTAGTGTAGGTTATTAGACACCTAGGATGACTGACTGAAAGTGTACCTGGGTACTTGTGTGTAGGTCACACTCAGTCCAGCAGATGTGAGGTGTAAGTGACAATGGCTGCACGTGAGACCTGTCCCCTGGGGACACTCCAAGGGAAGATGTATCCTGGATCCTTTAATTATGGCTTCAGTGAGCTAAAGGGTTCAGCATTTGGAATCTGTCTCCAGAATCAGACTACTTCTGCCTCTTGATTTAATTTTTTTTTAAAATTACTCCAGCTTTCCTGGGCACCCAGATGCCTCTCCACACATTTTTAATAAGATAGTAATGAGGAGGCCAGAAGGAACACATGGTTTCTGATGAGCTCTCCCAGGAGCCACGTAGAGTAGAACTGAAGAAAGGTAACTTCTTCCTCCTGGCCTATTTTAGATTACTTTATTTCCAGAGAAGGTAGGGCAGGGCAGTTGTTACCTGCCACTGGATGATGTTCTGTTCTTTTCCTACTGAATCTGTCATTGCGGCTAATATCTTCTTGTGCTCCACCTCTTACCCCAAATCCCCCTCAGCAAACAAGCACAAGCCCTGGATTGAAGCTGAGTATCAGGGCATCGTCATGGAGAATGACAACACAGTCCTGATGAACCCCCCGCTCTTCGCACTGGACAAAGACGCTCCGCTGCGCTACGCAGGTAGGGCTGACAGCGCTGGGAAGGGGGGAGGCAGGGGGAGACTGAGGCAGAGGCAGGGTGACATCCGTCCCTGTGCTAGGTTCTAGCTCTCTCCAGGAAATGATCGCCTCCAAGCCTTGCTCCAGAGGAGGTACCCAGTGAAGTCTGGAGGCAGTTTGGGCACAGCTTGGTTTAGGAAGCTGGGAGCTGTTTTCCTTAGGGCAAGAAATTGAGAATGGAGCCGGCTACTTTTTGATGCAGTTCTGCTCTTTCCAAAGATGACGTGCAAGCTCTGTGTCTGTCAGCACTGCTGAAAGCTGGTGGGGCACACTTGGTTGGCAGTGCTCCTTCCCCTCATGGGAAGCACCCATCCCTGAAACTACAGATGAGGCTTTACGAGGGTTGTATTCCTGGTGCTTGCTTAGGCCATGCCTGGAGCTTCCTCATGCATCCTCCCTCAGTTTGGGGAGATGATGGGTCCCTGTGAGCTGAACTTCAGGATTTAGGTGTAGCTATTTGCAGTTCCATGCACGTCCTGAGTGTGTGGGCAGATGAGACATCATGGATTTTTATGCTTCATGCAAACAATACGTGGCCTGTTTTGCCTCCCTGAGTGATGCAGAGGAGAAATAAGGTGCTCCCTCAGTACTGTGGCTGTGTAGCATTCGTAAATCCAGCTTGTAACTTCTAATCTTTCTTGGTGCTGCTCAAGACTCCTTGCCGTGGGAGTAGGCTCCAGCAGAGGGCAATCTACACCATTAATGGCTGTAAGAGATGTCAGGAGGAACTCCTAGGAAACCAAAAACTGCTCCAAATGAGAGGTGATAGTCACAGAGAAAGGAGGGGGAAGCAAGGGGGCATAGTGCACTCTCCTCAGTCCTTTCCTTTTCCCTCTTTCTCTCTGCCTTTGTGGGTACCAGGTGAAATCTGTGGCTTCAGGATCCATGGGGCAGGGGTACCTTTTGAAGCTGTGATCCTGGACAAAGCTACAGGTGAGGGGCTGATCCGGGCCAAGGAACCTGTGGATTGTGAGGCACACAAGGAGCACACATTCACCATTCAGGCTTATGACTGTGGAGAGGGACCTGATGGAGCAAATACCAAGAAATCGCACAAGTAAGTCCCTGCAGTCCTTGCTTCTTGTTACAAAGTGGGATCTGTCACAGAAATGCAAATGAAAATTGTTGTGGGACTTCTTCCTTTAGCCAGAAGTATTTTTCTCTAGTTCTGATACTATAAGTCAGTGTGTTAATAAGACCCAAAGAGAAACATTAACCAAGGTTTCATGAGTGAATATACACTGGAAATGAGCACTGCTTGACAGGTGTATCTAAGGGTTGTGGGTTTTGTTGCTGCATATAGGCAGGAGGTCCAGATTATTTTATCATTCCTTTTGTCTTTTTCTCTGGGGTGGGAAACCATTGTCTGAGCTCCCGTGTGCCAACATTGCTGCATTGAAACCAAGGTCTCTTTCCTTGTCCTTGCTACTGGTGGCTGGAAATGAGACCGGTGCACTTTAGGGGAGTGACTTACACTGAAATTTAGGTGGTATATGGCTCCTAATCAGTTCTTACTGATGTCTTTCTGCATCAGGGCCACAGTGCACGTTCGAGTAAATGATGTGAATGAGTTTGCTCCTGTCTTTGTGGAAAAGTTGTATCGTGTGGCAGTGACTGAGGGAAAGCTGTACGACCGCATCTTGCGTGTGGAAGCCATTGATGGAGACTGCTCGCCACAATACAGCCAGATCTGCTACTATGAGATCCTGACCCCAAATATTCCCTTCCTGATTGACAATGATGGTAAGAATCTGTACCTACCATGAGCATGTCACTCACCCTTTCCTGCTTTTCTCCCTCCCTGCCTGTCTCATTGGCTGGCAGAGCTGCTCTCTATGAGCTTTCTGACACTGCTGATCTATCTTTCCTGGTGCAGAGGTGCAGCAGCCATTTTGTGTGATGCTATAGCTTGGTACAGAATGGCACTAGGCAAAGGGACTCAAGCCCTTTTTGATTGTTTTTGTAGCTGATCGACAATAAGAGTCCTTTCCAGAAGGAACAACTTTGAGGAGACTGTCTTTCCTCTCCTTTGATCTTTTTGTTTTGCTAACCAGGGAACATTGAGAACACAGAGAAGCTGCAGTACAGTGGAGATCGTCTGTACAAATTCACAGTGACAGCCTATGACTGTGGAAAGAAGCGGGCTTCTGATGATGCTGAAGTGGAAATCCAGGTGAAACCCACCTGCAAGCCCAGCTGGCAGGGTATGAAACCTCCAAACACAGTTGCGTCTTCCCTTTGCTTTTGCTGAACTACTTAGCAATCCTACTCATTGCAAATGTTTGTACATACACATATAAATTTGTGTGCTGGTATATATGGTTCAGTTCTGGCACCAACCCATCCATCCGTTCTATGTAAAGGGATGCAGCAGACATCTAAGTCTGTTGCAGAGCCACTGAAAGGCAATTCTAATATTGGAAAACGGTTCCTTGGATTGCTGTGAGCTACTATGGATTTAATAAGGCTCACAGATTGTATTCAATGTACATTGTTTTGGGAGCTGCTTATCTTGAGGATGTTTGGCTTTTCCGGAGGTGGTGTAGAGGTTCACCTTGGTCAGTAGAACTGAGAGGAAATCAACACAGCTGAATATCTGCTCTGCCTGATAAAGGAGCCTGACAATCCAAGCAGTTTGTTACACTGGTACTAGCTGTAGAAGATGAGAATTTGGACTCTCTGCTTTTGGGAAGTCTTCACTTGCACTGATGCCAGCTGTCTTTTCAACATGGAAATGGCCAAAAATCTCTGTTTCTGGGCTAGCCCATAGATGCCGCTTGTACGAGTGACAGATGTTCTGGGTGTGGGTCCTTGGCAGGACCTAGCCCCTCTCTTTCACTCTTCTTTGTCAGGCTGGAACAAGAGGATTGAGTACACCCCGGGTACAGGCAGCCTCGCGCTCTTCCCCAGCATTCACCTGGAGACCTGCGATGAGCCCCTGTGGAACATCCAGGCTACGGTGCAGCTGCAGACAAACCACGTGGCCAAGGGCTGTGACCGAGATAACTACTCCGAGAAGTCCCTGCGCAAACTCTGTGGTGAATTGATCCTTTCCTGGCCCGCGGGCAGCTGTGGCACAGCACCCTGCCCCTTCCCTTGGGGGGGTTCCCACTGGTAGCTCTGTGCCTTACGCAGCGGAGATGCTGGGGGACACATTCCTCACATCTGCTGTGGTCAGTGGGGCTGGGAGGACACTTGGCTTGCATGGGGCATTGAGGGGCAGTGAGCACCCTGCCTGTATTTACAAGGGGCTCCTGGTGCCTTCCTTGCTAGGAGGCCAGAGGTTTCTGTGCATTGCCCCAGTACACAGTCTGTGGCACTTGCCTCAGCACAGATGGAAAACTCACCATCCTTCTCCAGATAGAAGGCAGCCTATAGGCAAATCCTCTTCTCCTCTAGAAGATTACCACAAGCCCTCTAGGACCCTCTTCACCTGTTCCCCCATTCTCAGGCTCCTTATTCTCCTGTGCTGGGAGGCCAGAGGTTTCTGTGCATTGCCCCAGTACACAGTCTGTGGCACTTGCCTCAGCACAGATGGAAAACTCACCATCCTTCTCCAGATAGAAGGCAGCCTATAGGCAAATCCTCTTCTCCTCTAGAAGATTACCACAAGCCCTCTAGGACCCTCTTCACCTGTTCCCCCATTCTCAGGCTCCTTATTCTCCTGTGCTGGCATTCCAAGGAGAGGTTGACCTGCTGCCGGTGCCTAGCCCCACGGCGAACTGGACCACGCGGCTCTCGGTGCACTACAGCCAGGACAGCAGCCTCATCTACTGGTTCAACGGCAGCCAGGCTGCCCAGGTGCCTGTGGTGAACGGGCCGAATGCTCATCAGGGGCTGAGTGACCACTTCACCCTGTCTGTGTGGATGAAGCACGCTGTGGTGCCTGGCAAAGGCCGGCGGGAAGAGGAGACGGTCATCTGCAGTACAGTGCAGAGCGGTGAGACGCTTACCTGGGGTGGTGACACTTGTGCCCACTGCCTCTAGCTTGTTAGCAGGGGGAAGTCTCCTGTGTTTCAGAGCGGGACCTGGGCAGGGGTGCACCCTTAGGGACACAGCTTCTTCAGGTGTCACTTATTCTGGGAGCAGTCAAGCCTGCTGCAAGCGCGTGGCACCGTGCTTCTGGGCTCTGGCTGGCGAGGCTGCTCCGAGGTGTGACGTGTAACTCCCTCTGCTTGTTCTGCCAGAGGACGGCTACTCCCATTACTCTCTGTCTGTGCACGGCTGCCGGATTGCTTTCCTCTACTGGCCCTTGCTGGAAAGTGCCAGGCCTGTGAAATTCCTCTGGAAGCTTGAGCAGGTGAGGAAGCGTTTGCCTCTCCCCCATGTCCCTTCTTCTTCCATCCTTTGCTGAACTCTTCCTCTGCTGTGTGCCGTAGGTCTGCGATGATGAATGGCACCATTACGCCCTCAACCTGGAGTTCCCCACTGTCATGCTCTACGTGGATGGTGTCTCTTATGACCCTGCCCTCATCCATGACAATGGCCTCATTCACCCCCCTCGGCAGGAACCCTCGCTCATGATTGGAGCCTGCTGGACTGGTGAGTGCCCACTCTCTCTGAACCATGCTCTTCCCATGTGGAAAACAAGGGCGTGGAGCGAGAGGTCGAAGAGATGAAACTCAGCACTGAAGCCAGCGTGGCTCCTTCCTTCCTTATGGACCAAGCCAGCAGGCCACAATAATAGCAGTGCAGGCCCAGATGTCCCTGGCAGCTTAATGGACAACAACAGTAGAATATGTGACAGATAAGCAGCTTTGAGGCAGAGGAAAGCAGAAACTCTGTACGTCATTCAGTCACTGACATTTCTATCAAATGAAAATTTCTTTTAATTTCAAATGAAAACTTCTGGTGAATTTCTTTTCACCAAAGAGCAGGCATTACTATTAGTGCTGCCAGTTGCACTGATGAGGATTTCTGTGTATTTAGTGTCTGTATGAAGAAGCCACAAATCATTCTGTAGAGGAATTGGGTTGGAGGGCAAAGATCAGGTTAGGAACACAGTTAAGCCACTACCAGATTAAAACACTGTGGAGATGTAAAGCTGTCTTTCCCAGGTTCTCCTGCAAGACTGAGGCAGGACAGAGCTAAAGGAATTTGCCTGCTGCTTGCCTTCACTCCAACAGAAATTTCTAGCAAGATCAAATCTTTACTGTAGTACTGCTTCTCCCAGGTCAGGGATCTTCCCCCAGCTCTGTGCTCTCAATTAGCCTTTTGCAGTCGACAAATACTAATCAGCTTAGGACATCCTCCTGGAACCATCTGGGTTTCAAAGGGATGTTGAGAACACGGCTTGTTGTGAACATAGCTAAAGCTGTGATCCATAAATGGGAATCGTTTAATTCCCCATATAGATATTATTGGGAAAGGAGTTAAAAAAAAACCCTATACTTTCTCCCTTTTACCTGTGACTTATCCTACAGTCTCACCATCCCCTTCATGAGAGGGACTCTGCCCTCTTTCACCTGTGTTGTGCTGTCTCTAGGGTTGAAGGATGCACTGCTTGGCACATTGCTGCAGAGATGTTCTTCTGGACAGGCCAGTCCAGGCACTTGTATAGATACTTGCCTGACCCTGTAACTACCCTCTTCCAGTACCTTACTGCTTGTCTGAATGTTCTCCTTTTGCAGAGGACAAAAGCAAAGAGAAAACCAAAGGAGATGAAAACTCCACTGATACCGTACAAGGTAGGGGAAAGACAGGAAGTTCTCTTCCCCTCTTTGCCATGCATGACAATCACTTCTTGCATGATTGCCTTCCTCATACGGCTTATCCTGTCCTGCCACCTCCCACCAGCTTGGGAGGAAAATCCTTACTTGGCAGATTGGTCCTTGATACTTTGATATCTGTGGAGCATGAAAAGGCTGATAGGAGGACTACAGCCTGCTTTGAGAGATGGAGTATGCTTTCCATGTGGAGAAAGAGTCCTCATGCCTGATCATTAGAGTTGCTCTCTGAAGAACACAGTAGTCATTAGCGACATCAGGAGATGTCACCTCATCCCTATCTATGGAATGTGTAGTTTCTTCTAAAAGCCCTCACAGGAGGCAGAGTGAGAAGGGGACAAGAAATTGTTTCCATCTGGCATTCAGCAGTTTGGCAGAAACTTCTCTGTGCTACCCACCATTCACTGCCCTAGTCTTTCTGTTGGTCTGTTTTTCTCACTTCCTCCCATATGGAATTAAAAAAAGTTGTCATCTCCTTAGTTCAGCATCCCCTGTCTTCCCGTTGTCTTTGCTTTTCCACGTCCTATGCACCCCTGTCTCCTTCTCCCTCCCTTAACATCTCTATGTCCTTCCCACTGTTGCTTTTGTTGGTTGTGCTCTTTTCCTTGCCCTGTCTCTCTCACCCTCCACCTCCCATGTTTCCCTCAGGAGATCCTCTGTCAATACACCACTACTTCCATGGTTACTTGGCTGGCTTCACTGTACGCCCTGGTAGCTTGGAGAGCCGGGAGGTTATTGAATGCCTGTATGCCTGCCGTGAGGGGCTTGATTACAGTGACTTCGACAGTCTGGGCAAAGGGATGAAGGTATGCCCATCTGCCCAGCTTGCATGGGTCTCTTCCACTCTCCTCCTCAGCCTTGCTTCCCGGGACTTTGCCTGCTCCCCCACCTCAGACAACTCCCCACCTTTCTCCTTTGTGTCGCTCTTAGCCTGGACTCTCGGCATTTGCCAAGCGACCCTGAGTATATTCTTCTCTTCCATTTGTAGGTTCACGTGAACCCCTCTCAGTCCCTGCTCACCTTGGAGGGTGATGATGTGGAAACATTCAACCATGCCATCCAGCACGTGGCCTACATGAACTCGCTGCGCTTTGCCACTCCTGGAGTGCGGCCGCTCAGGCTCACCACTGCTGTTAAGTGAGTGGACAGAGCAGCACTTCTGACTAAGTTCAGGGGGAGGGTTACCTCTCTTTTGACTGAAATTACACTGCTGCACCTTGTATTTTACTTCTAATTGATGGGTAGAATCTAGAAATGGGTAAAGATCTTCCTGAAAGTAAACATTAAGGTATCTGGCATCCAAATGGATACTGCAGTACTGGGTCTGTGCAGAACTTGCAGTCTTCACTCGTGGTGTTCCAGGCGTGTGCACTAATTTTAATTTTCTCTGAGGTATGTGGATGTGTCCAAATCACCTAAAACCCAGAGATGTAATTCCTACCACATCTCTCTGTCTTGCACAGCAGGCTATGGGGAAGCTTTAGGAAGACAACTAGAAAAAGGATACTTCCTTCACTGGTAGTAATGGGCAGGAGGTGTTCTTTCACAGTGTTGCTGGTGAAAACTTGGGCCAACCAGTGCTTTCTGCCGCTCTCTTTCAGGTGTTTCAGTGAAGAGTCCTGTGTCTCCATTCCTGATGTGGAAGGTTATGTTGTGGTGCTACAGCCTGATGCCCCTCAGATCCTATTGAGTGGCAATGCCCGCTTTGCTCATCCTGCATCAGACTTTGAGGCTCCTGATGGGGTCCCCCTGTTCCCCAACCTCCAGATCACCTGCTCTATTTCTCACCAGGTGGAGGCCAAGAAGGATGAGAACTGGCACGGCACTGGTGAGTGGAGTACGGGGTGAGGTGTAAGAGACAAACTGGGAAGGCTTACAGGAGTTCCTGTCCTGCAGAAGAGGTAGAGCCCCTCATTACACCTGAAATAGGAATGAGTTTAGCAGTACAGAAGCAAGGCACATTGTCTGTCAACATGTAGGTTAATCAGTTCTTATCCCTTTCCGCTCCTCCCTGTACATTTTCTATCCACCTAGTTCCTTTGCCTCACTCTCTACTTCTTTTTTCCCAGGATGCTCATTCCTAATCCCTTTTACATTTTACCTACATTTCCCTTTATTGAATCTGGCAGTAGATGGATGTCCTGCCTGTTACACTCTCCACTCCTGCGCTTACTCATTCTCCTCCTGCTTCCTTCTCTCCTGCTGTCCTTATTTCTCACCCACTCCCATCTCTTCCTGTATCACTTACTCCTCTGAATTCCCCAGTCAGTTTCCTCACACACAATAATATCTTGTCCCTCAATTTCTTTCCATCATCCTCAGATTATTTCTCTGCACTCTGTCCTCTACATGTCCTTTCATTTCTTTTGTATCTCTTCCAGTAACAGGAATTGCTGCTCATAGTTCTCTGGTTACCAGCTTTGCCTTTCCTCATACAGTGATGGGTTTCTTGACATAAAGAGCACGTTGGTCTCAGCCCTGCTGAGAGCAGTTAGTCATTTTATGTGGTTGCCATTTTAAAGAAGATAAGATCTCAACCATGGTATCCAGCAATCCTGAGACAGGAGAAAGCTTTCAGAAGCACTTGGGGTCTGGAAACGTATGATAGAGTTGCTCCTAATTTGCACATTGTCATTGTCAACAGAGTCCTTAGAGCCAAGATGTGTTATCATGAACCAGCCTGACACCAGTATGTTGTTCTAAAATATAGTGACTTTACTATGTACATAAGTAATATCAGTAGAACCAGGGGGACTCCTCCAACAAGTAATTAGACTGACCCTGATTTTACTCAAGGTCAGTGCTAGCTAGACAAAGAGAAGTCATTATGTACGATGCGAGTACTTCTGAGTAATTTGGTACCACTCTGAGTAATTCCTGCCTCACTGATGGCTGCCTGGTGTTCTGTGCCTGACTCCTTTCTGTTTGCATCTGTCTCAGTGACAGACACACGCATGTCAGATGAGATTGTGCACAACCTGGATGGCTGCGAGATCTCACTGGTGGGAGATGACCTGGACCCGGAGAGGGAGTATCTGCTCCTGGATGGGGCACTGCTGCAGCAGCATGGCCTGGAGCTTGCCAACACCTCTGCCTACCTGACCATCACCGGTATGTCCTCTCCTTAGCCACAGCTCTCATTGTGCCTCTCTCATTGCCTCTCAGGCATCACTGGGAGAAGCACTTCACTCGCTGTTAGAGATGTGCTGGTGTACTCTGTGAGACTCTGAGATGCGACAGTTGGCTGAACTCCTGGCTTTTGGCCACTTCCCTGGGGAGGCGGCTCCTGGCTCCTTCTCCAGCACACACTACTAGGACATGGTGTCTGAGCTCTCACCCAGGCTTGTATCACTCCTGACTTAACTCCTTGGGGTTTGGTGTTATGTGCCAGCAGCATTTTGCATGTTGTGACTGGGGGACACACCGTCCCACAGGTTGTTGACTGGCACAACAATATTGTACTCTCCTGAACAGGGCTGTTGCTCTTAATCCTTTGCTCTCTTCCACTTGTTTTAGCAATGCAAGCAGAGATTTCATCAGGTCGTTTGCAGCCAGTTCCATCTCTGTTGCTTTCCTAAAATTAATGAACCCAACATTGCCTTGGATTCCTCTATAGCTCCTGGTTGCTACAGGGTTCTGATGCCAGGTGACTGAAGCAGGAGGCCCACACCAGTTCTCTCTTCTTGTCTCAGGTGTGGAGAGCATTGCAGTTTATGAGGACATATTAAGGCAGGTCTCGTACCACATCAACCACGGTGCTGCTCTTTATGAGAGGAAGTTTCACCTGTCCTGCACTGAGATGAATGGACGCTACTCCAGCAATGAGTTCACTGTTGAGGTACAAGATTGATACGTGCACATGTGGGTGCCTACACACGCATGGAGAGGACACGGTGGATGGCATTGCATATGATGCAGAATGTACCATGAACACAGGGCTGAGTCTCTCTCAATCTGGTCTTTCTGCAGGTGAACGTCCTCCACAACATGAACCAAGCCGCTCATCCTAACCATATTCTGGGTTCCCAGCAGTTCGTGCATCAAGGCCATCATTTACCCCCAGAGCTATCTGGCCACAGTTTGGCAAGCACCCATAACAACCCAAGTATGTAACACTATCTTTTGGGTTTATTCCTTTAGGTCAGGATGCTGATTTTCTGGTAGTCTGGTAGAAGCTATAGCAGAGGATTCCCTTCAGTCTCCCTATACCCATCAAGCTCTCATTATCCTGTCCTGTGCTATTTGTCATTAGCAAGAGGACTGCAATCTGTGTCAAACTGTTTCAGAGCTTGGTGCAACAATCCTCCTCTTTTGGTGTGCTGTTTCCATGATGTGGAAGCAGTCTAAACTCTCCACCTGAGAGGGTCTGCAAAGAACAACCATAGGCAGGTACGATTTCACTCAGGAACCTTGCAAAGGTGCTATGTGGGCTTGGGTAACATAATTTCAGAAAGGACCTTCAACAGCAGGAAACAACAAAAGAATCAAGACTGCCACTGCTCTAAAAGAGATGGTACTAGGCAATGGTCAGCAAGGCAGAAAAATAAAGGAGACAGCACCACAGACAAGAGGAGGATTCTTGCCCCTAAAACAGAAAGCAGCCTGAAAGCTAGACATGAGATTCGTTGGTTTGTACTGGCAGCCCTGTGCCACAAGCATGACTTCAGTTCAGCTGGCTCCTCCTAGACTGTGAAAGCTCTAGGGCTGTTACAGAGGACCCTGGGTTTGGGTCCTGGGTTGTAGGGAACATGGATTTGCTGCTGCTTCCTGCAGCAGCTGATCCCAAGCTGGTTCAGTCCTGCAGGTGGCACTGAGCAACTGCAGGCAGTGTGTAGGGAGAACACATCCCAAAACCCAGCCTTTGCCACTCCCTGCCCAGCTCTGCCCAGTTGCAGCAAGATTCTCCTTGCTGTACAGAACCACCTAGAACAAATCCACAGAGGGCCTGGACAGATTTTGTATGGAAGGGGGTTATCTGGGGAGTCAAGGCTCAACCTACAGGCCTAGGACAAAGAGATGAGAATTGGGCTGAGGGTCTTAAGTGAATTTCAGGTTTTATTCTGCAGAGAAGCCAGGCTTTGACCATGGCACTAATTAGAAGGCCATCATAGCCCTCACTTCTGCCCCATGTGCAAAGCAGATTTCTTTTAGCTTCCTTCTTTCTCTACTGCTTGCACAGAAATCTCATTGTCTGAAAACCATCCTTGTGCCCTTAGAGAATCTCCCCAGCACAGTTCTCCCTTCCACGAGGGGCATACAAATGGCTGCCATGCAACACATTGTGGTGAATTCTGTAGGTAAAGATGTGCAGTCTACAGGCCACGCCAACAACAGAGGACACTTGAACCTAGACATCCTGGAAAACCATGCTAGCCTCAAATGAAAATGCAGGAGCTGCCTGTGCCCAGGGAAGCAAAAAAGTCAGGATGTGTTCCTGTCAACCGAGGAGCTGAGCTCTGCCCAGGAAGGCCAGTTCCCGCAGGTCAGGTTGGAGATGCATGTGTCCATTGCAGGCTCTAACCACACCTTCTCATGTTCTTTCTCCAAAGTGGTGCCCAGTGCTGCCACTGTCATCATTGTCGTGTGTGTGGGCTTCCTGGCCCTCATGGTGATCCTGGGCCTCCTGCGCATTCACTCCCTGCACCGTCGGGGAGCAGGGCAAGAAGCCCCCGGGGCTGTCGACGGGGGACACGCAACCACCCGAGGCAAAGACAGCAACATGTTCTGGGATGACTCGGCCCTCACCATCATTGTCAACCCCATGGAGGTGAGGAGCAGCCGCAGAGCCTGGGGCAGGGGGGGCAGTGGGCTGCCGGATCCCTCCCCTTACCCCGTGTCTGCCTCCCTAGTCCTACCAGAGCTGCCAGGAGAGGGCCGCGGGGAGCGGCAGGGGCGGAGCTAGCGCGGCCACGGAGGATGAAGATGACAGCACCGACTCAGAGACATCCGACTCCCCGGACAGCAACGACCTCGAGGACCAACACATTGGCAGAAGCGATGGCTCTCACCGCTACTAGGAGCTTTAAAATCCCAGTCCATGGCTGGAAGGAGGAGGTGTCTTACTTTTAACTTCTTCCTTCCCCCACCGTGTACACATGCACTCCTCCCTTCTTCGTCATTTCTGCCTCTCACGCTCCTCCATCTCCTGCCATTCTCATTGTGGACATTCCCCACATTACTGACCCCCCTCCCCGTCTGGCTCTGTAGAAATGTGTTAGGGCACTTCCACATGCCAATGGCACAGCTCAAACTAGGATGAGGAAAGAGGGGCTTGGAAAGAACAGAAATTTGCAAGGAGGAGCCAGCCTTAGGGCTCAGAGTGGGGTCTCTCACAACCCCTCCCCAGATATTATATATATATTGTATATTTTTTCAATGTTGTCGTTTGAAGTTTATTCTCGTTTCATGAACAAAAAAAACCCCAAACCACTGCAGCTTGTGTCGCTTTGTAAAACTGTCGATACTCCTAAACTAAATGAATGAAAGCAAGAAGGATGAGTAAACAAAAGTGGATTTTAAAATAAATGGATTTAAAATAAAACATTCAGGGCTTCTGCAGTTTTTCACTAGAAGCAGGGAAAGAAACAGTGTAGCCTCTAACGTGAAACTAGAGATTAGACGTCTAGAGTGTGTATTTACTGAAATTACTGCCTTATATCAGGGAAGGGTTGCATTTTTTAGTGTTGGAACAAGAAAAACACATCATCCCTGTCCCTACCCCCCTTATTTTCCAAGTCAAAATTCTCTTTGTAAACACAATGTAGCCTTCCCCAGAACATGGGATTAGGAACCCACAGAGGAACAGAAGGCACCCCAGCCTGTCACAGGCCAGCATAACACATGTGGCAAACAATTACTGATTACAGAAAAATCATAAGGCCCTTTCCATACACTTAGTGTATCATCAATAGAAATAAGCCAAATCCTCAGCTTCATCTTTTTACCTGATCCACTTTCTTTACCAGCATAAGAGTATTTTTCACACCAGGGGTTCCAGCTTGTAGCAGAACAGACCTGGTGTTTCTGAGGGAAGGAGGTGTCCTCCTCTTTTTGTTGGGAAGGGAGGGGATGGAAACACAACAGATACTGTCAAAGCGTGGCTATGAACCCAGCAGCATGAGTTGTTAGGGTAGTGCTTCATAGGAGGTTGTGGTTCTTCCTTTATCTACTGGGTCTGATTATTCAGATCCTGCACGACAAAAAGAGGCTGTCAGCTGCCCGACACATCACAGGGCAAAGGCTGCAACATATTAAGGACTCAAAGGAAGATTCTGCAATAGGACATCTGCTGACAACCAACGTTGAGAAATCCTTCAGGGCAGGGAGGTAGCACAGTAAGTGAGAGTAGAAGAACACTTCTGAGAGCATGAAAAGTATGAAAGAAGTGGACATGCTGAGGCTAAGATACTCTCACACTTTCTCCTTTGTCTCCTTCCCAGTAAGTTGCATGCCCTTGTTTCATACAGGGAGTTTACAGCAGGCACTGTCAAACTAGTGACCTGACATCTCGAAGCATCAGAGTAATTCAAGTTTCCAGAAAGAAGGCAGGCTACATTGTGCATGCTGGAGCCAAAAGCTTTGCACAAAATAGTCTTATGTCCTGAGAATGCTACGCCTGACTCGGTCCTGGTATGCAATGAAAAATGCTGCCTCTCAGAGCACAGAAAAAGTCCAAGTCTCAGAATCATGAGGTTCCTGTAACTCTACAGCAGCCTCAGGCAGGTGCTACAGTGTGCTTACAAGGTGGAAGAGGCCAAATGCACGATAAGTTCATAGGTAGCCATCGTGATAGCTGTGTTTGGGATTTGGCGGATCAGGTGAGCCAGGAGCCCTCGGTACAGAGCCAAGGGTCCCTCTTCATGCACCACCAGCTGCAGAGTCTGTATAAAGGAGCGGTACCGTGACCCTTCTTCTCGCAACCGCGTCCGAACGACCTCTGGAGAGACACAGAGAGAAATGACACTAGCAGATGGATCCTACAGGCACGACACATCCCATCAAGGGGAACCACAACCAGGAGAGTGGACCCACTCACCATGTGGATATGCAAGGCATGAAGCACAGGTTTTGGAGACAGCAGCAGCTCCCATCAGTCCAAAGAAATCATGTCTGTTTGATGACAGTGTGAGTGGTGGGGAAAGGGAATGATGGCTGTTTCTCAGTTGCTGTTTCAGTGCTTCATAGATGACAAAATGGATGATGGTCTCTGACACTCCGGCGTAGGAGGCAGTAATGCCACGGTAGAACCCACGGAGGCCTTCGGTGCGGTACACGTGCATGGCACACTGCAGAGCGTTGCTGGCCATCTCACCCTTCGCCCTGGGCAGGGGAGGCAGGGTTAGAATGACACACTGCTCCACTGACCTCCAGTGCTGTTATGCACAGAACTGCACGACTCTTGCCCAGCGTGCCTTGAAGACCCACATTCTAAGGCAAGGCACAGACCCCACCCATCCCCACCCTCAGCCAGTCCTGATGCGGCATGGCGTGGCTCTGCACTGCTAGCCTGCCTCACCTGGCTTCCAGCTGCATCCTGGTTTTCACTAACCAGATAGGGTTGGTGAGTGTGGAAGAGGTAATGCCTGGAGAAAAGAAGAGGAAGACAGCCATGAGCACCAGGATCATGATGACAGTTGGCTAGGAGGTGTTGATCTATCAGCTCTCTGAATTCTGCTTGGCAAGCTGTGGGCATTTGCAATTTTAGACTGACCTTGAGATCCCCTGGGAGAAGTGCTATTTAGGGCAGACTGTTTGATTCTCCTCCTCCCCCATTTCAGACTTTGTCTGGAGACAATTAGCTCCTATGCCTCCATCATAACCCTACTACAGGCCCTAGTGTTACGAGCAGGCAGGAAACAACAGGCTCCACTTGGAGAAGAGGAAGATTTTGTTAAAGAACTGGGATACATCAAGAGAAATGACTCTGAGTAGTCTAAAATACACACTGCCTCCTCCCTCTCACAGCTGAATGGAGCTTTCTTCCTGAGAGCAGCTGAAGGGGTAAAGACTAGATCCAGGACTTGAAGAGATGAGCCTAAAAAAGAATGAAGAGTGAGGAAAACCTTTTGGATACCCAAGGAACTCATTGCTCCAGGTGTGGAGGGAGAAAACTTTAGAAGAGAGAGGAGGACTGATGTCAGCAGCGATGGGGAAGGAATGAAACCCATTTACACTTACAAACAGAAGGACCCCTTGGCTCTGATTTGAGACAGAAGAGGCTCACCTGCACAGGCTGCTGACAGCATGTGGACTTTCTTGGACTCCGGTACAAGGACAGCATTGAGCCTCTCCTTAGCACCAGAATAGGCAGCAAAATATATAGCCCTGGTTGGAAAGAAAATACAGAGGAAGTTACAGCTCACCTATGAGGAGCAGAGACAGTGCTGCTGTGGGGTCTCCCTCCAACTCCCAGCCCAGATTTGTCTATTGTGACAGCAGATACCACTTATACTACATCCACAACAATGACCTTATCTTACAGCTATGATCAGAAGATCCACAAAACCTATCTGTGAAGGAGTCCTGTGGCACAATGAGCACAAGGCTCAGACTGCTTTCAGGACATGGAACAGCACCTGTCATGGACACCCTTTAAAAGGTGTATAGTGTGAGCTGTCCTCGGGGAGCAGTACTCACCTGGAAGGAGCAACCCCAACAAGGTTTGGGCCCAGACCTCGGAACAGGGACCGCATGCCTTCCTTCTCAAGGATGGTCCTGCAGGAGGAGGTGAACAGGGACATCAGTGGAATAACTACGCTGGGGGCTCTCATGCTCCTCCTCCTTCTTAGTTCTTCACTGCGTCACGTAGCATCCTCTCTTCACATCCCATGTTATCTTTTTTCTGCTCTACTCTTTTTCTCTCCAACCACTCTCTCCTTCAGTTAATACTTCCTATTCTTGCCAACACCATCACTCTGGGTCCGATCAAACCACTATCTTCTCACAATCCCAAAAACTGACCTGCAGACTCAAAGCACAGATCAACTACGAGAAGCAGATGTACCTGTGCTCTCATGAAACTTCCTACCACACCTGTGGTTTCCAGAGCCTCAGCTCAAGTGCTACTTCCATCTCTTTCTCTTCACCTCTCTCTCTCCAGCTGATGGCCAAACCTTGACCTCCCTGGTGCTAACATGCACACTGCCCTATCCTACTCACCTCAGCAACTTGAGCACCCCAGGAGACGGTGGGGTGGGGTTCACCAGCCTCACACTCATCCCTGGCAGCTGTATCTCTGAGAGGCACAGAGGCCGCAGTCTCAGTTGGGATGACTGTAGACGTGTCTTCACCACTTCCAGGGGACAGGTCAGGATGGCTCCAGCTGTGCCACCACATCTACGACATAACAAGGGCATAACACCACATGTAAGAATGACCCCTGTGCAGGAACAGAGCCATAATTCTGATCGTTCACAGCCTCCCCCCTCCAGGAGAGGAGGTTAGGTCCTCCAGCCTGCGTCACACATGACCTCCTGCTCTGACACTGATTAACGTAATAACGGCATTGCTTGGGACATCTCCTGGCAGCCCCACTCCTAAACCTCACTGGTTATTTGAGACAAACAGTCCAAAGTCCACAGGGACTCGGCAGTCCCCCTGCTCAAAGCTGCTGATCTTTGCATTCAGGATTTCCCAGAGCAAATAGTCCTGCTGCCCAACCTCGCTGCAAGCCTTCTGCTGACATGAGGAGGCACCATGCCTCACACCTCCCCACAGCAGCATTGGTTCAGAGAGGGGCAGCACAACACTCCTCCATCAGCCTCTGTCTTCAACCCATAACCCATTCAGTCCCGTATCTGCAAGGCCCTGCAAGCAAGGCAAGTATTTTCTGCCAACAGCCAGGCTCACCTCTAGCCTTACTTGCTTAATGAAAGAGGACCCTGACCTTCAGCAGAGAGAAGCTATTTTTGGAGCTCATGAACCATCACCATCAATCAGTCTAGTCACACTGCAGTAGTGCTGAAGGGACACGTTTCCCCTTTTTCCCTTTCTGCCACCCAAGGACAAGTCAGAACTCATACATTTGATTCTCAGCTTCAGCCCCTTCAGATCCTTTGACCCACAACTCCATTCTTCCTGGAGATGCTCAGTACCTGGAAGGCTGTTTTGAGATGAACTTGCATGGAACAGCCATGAAAGAGGCTTTGATGAACAGACAGTTGTTCATACTTGCTACAGCCAAACTTGCAAGAGATGGAAGCTTATAAAAAGTTCACTTTGCGCCAAAGAAAAAAAACAAACCACAATCAAAGAACTAGAAGATATCAGGGAAGAATCAAATATATCAGCAGAATTACGTATGTCAGTCCAGGACAGCAAATGGCTAGGTTTCTGAAGAGTTATTTTGGAAGAGCCTATACAGCTCCGTGTAAACATACACTGCTCTAACAGAGCACCAAGACAGCCTGCGTAGAGATCCAGGAGCCAAATGAGGCAGGCTCTTACAAAAGCCACGTTCATTCTTCCCACATAGACTATATTAATTCAGGGGTCCAACAGTTCTGTTCTTTACCATAGTTCCTACTAATTTGTCTGAAACAGGCTCCAGACTTACAGGCCTGTTGTTTTCATGACCAGAAGTGTAGTTTCCAGTTCAGGAGAAGACCGAGTATGGTGGTGAGAGACCAAGATGTCTCAGAAGCCTGAACAGAGCAGTTTCAACTTCTTATCTAGAAGCTGAGCAAACAGTACAACAGGACAACATCTGAAGTAGTAATTACTTGGTATCCTAAGGATTTTCCTCTCTAACAGTGTACAAGGACGCACAACTTTATGTAATTTTTTAATAATATCTCATTTCAGGAAGTCCCTATCTGAGCATGGTCAGGACAGGAATTTGAATCTACACATTCAGTATAAAAGCTTCCTGAGTTCAAGTTCTACACGCTATGGAGAGTATATATAATTGAGAAGTATTTTTAAAGAAACAGCAAGAGTTAAAGAAATTGTTACTCTATAGAGTGGTTGTCATTTAATCAGCCATAAGAGAGTCTGAGGTGAAGCAGGACCTCTGAGCCACTGCAGTCCAATGGCAAGACTAGGGAAGATTTTTCAGGGAGCAAAGCACACTGACTAAACAAAGCTAAGGGAATAAAATGTACCAGTTACTCAAAAGTATAAGAAACCTCAACTATGATGTGTTATGCATTACATGGTGATACAACTGCTCACGATGTATGAAAGGCACAGGTCTCCAAAATTCTCATTTTGGGAGAAACAGAAAATTATATACTCTTGTCACAAAGAGATAAACTATTTCTCAGTCCAGTACTAATGAAGGCAAAATTTAAAAAAAAATCTAGTCAACCATTTTAAAATCAGCAGACACAAAATAAAAATCCATGACCATGAATACCAAAAATAGCTGTTTGAGATTTCATGTCTACAGATTTAAATGCTTACAAAACGTTAGGGGACTGGGGAAATATACCAGTCTAGAAGAGTTCTAATGTCTACTAGCATTAACAAAAAAAAAAATGTGTATTTGGATTCTCAGAAGCAACTACAAAGATCTAACATACTTCAGCCTTGCAAGAAGTCAGCTTGTTATAGCACAAAAATACACTTAGAGCCTTAGCACTCTGTCTACAGCATAGGTGCTAACTGGCTTAAAATCAGACCACAAAATCTCAAAAAGAAAAATATCAGCCCCACTCTTGCCCTGCCCTGAAACCAGTTGTCAGTAAAGAATCAAACAGTGGTCCAGAAAAAGTCTAGCAAAATCACTTCTAGGCTAGACCTCACACCAGCAGACAGGAGGTTAACATTTTACTCTTGATAAGACCCATGGGTGACAAATATTGTCTTAATGAAAAAACAAATCAAATTGAGCAGTCACCAAGTGTCCTAATGTTGGGATCAAACAGACCAGTTTAGCAAAACCAAAACCCTGAAGTCACTAGTCCAGAAGCAGGAAAAAAAGCAATTCCTGCAAAATGCAATGAAGAGCAACAGCTGACAACCAGAACAAGATGTACTCCCAGAGAAAAGCAGTGGCAAAAAGAGCTAACTGAAGAAGGCAGGCAATTTTACCTGAGAAAACAGTACCTGCATTTGGATCTTGCTTTCACATTTTAAAGGGAAAACTGGACGCTTGAGGTGGCAAAAAAAGAGGATTAGTTGAGAGAAATGCAAACCCCACCATTAACAATTTTTCAATGATCTGAAAAGGGTGAGTGCATGCACAGAGGTGACAAGGTTTACTGGTAATCCATGATTTAGCCCTTACATAGACTAGCCAAAAATTGAGATGGCTTGAAGATTTTAATTCAAGTATAGCAAATAGAGGTCAGAAAAATGTGCAGTTAAACCAGGATTCTGCCAAGGACGCAGACAAAGAAAGATCACTTACAGAAGAGCAGGAGAGATGCTCATCTCCAGAACATCGTCCCAGTCTCCTGCAATTTTCAGCTCAGGGATTTTCTCAGCCTGTTGCCATGTATTAAATGCAATGTTGCATTGCATTTAATAGCCTTCAACACATTCTTTTTCATTAATCTTTTTAAAAATGCTCTCTGGACACATAAAAAGCTTTTACTGTCTAATATCCTGTGGCCAGGTTTACCAGCACACTGTGTTAAGAGCTATGCTCCTGCTTTAATTTGGAACAAACGTCTCACAAGTTTCATTTCATAGTCCTCAGTTCTTCTACTAGAAGATACAGTGAAAACTGTTCTTTCATCAATGAGATCTGTTTCATTAGGTAAGACAGTAACGTTAACTGTATACTACATCAATAGCCTAAACTTCTTATCCATCTCTTATTCATCTCTCAGGTTTTAATTAATTGTAATTCAGGGATTATTGCTTAATGGGCGAGCACAGGATATAGACTAATAAAAGTCCCACTAGTGACACTTCCTGTCACTGTCCAAACTCTCACAGTTTTTTAGGAACCGAAGTGGGAAGTGAGGATGAAGAAAACTTCAAGAACGAAGCTAAAAAATATGAAAAAAAAAATATTTTAAGAAAGGCTAAGATGCATTGACTATATAGGAAAAAGGATAAATTAATAACAGAGTTATTAATAACATATACAAAATAACACTGGGAATAGAAAGGGCAAGTACATAGAAGCAAAGATCGGCATAGCACAACAACCCAGCAGTTCACTAATTAATAGCAATTAAATTATGTGCTTTATTGCACATGCTACACACGTGACCTCACTGTCCCACCGACTCCAAGAGGCTGGTGGAATTTAGGAAGGGAAAGGTGTCTGTGTGGGCAAAGGAATTGTGCAGCTACTCTGCGAAGTCCGGAGGGCCACAAGAGCTGCTTTAGGACATCACACACTCAGAGCTCGCTC